CAAAGCCAAATACACATGGCTGGAGATGTCGTAGATCCTAGAGAAAACTCTATCTCTGTCATATTCCTAGACAAATGTAATTAATTACAGTATGCTAAATATGAATCCTTATTTACAGACAAGTATATTATTTTCATCACTCACCAAAGAAGTTTCTTGTGTAAACAATCTTTGTGCATTGTTTATAAGGAACATCCTTTCTCCCTCTCTGCTCTTTCTAAAATATGTGAAAATTTCCTGTTAATTTGTAGGGCTTATGGATTCTTTTCACCTTGCTTTACCTTGTCTCATTCTTTTTCTTTCTATGTCAGATATTTTGAGCAGAGTAAGAGTGGAGGTCAGCCTGCACTGTGCTTTTATATGGTTTTCATAATGCATCTGGAGCTGGAGGGTAATGAGAAAACATTTCCAAATTTCACCATGAATCAACTCTACATGGAGCAGATGAACAGCTTTAATGTTAAACCATCTATATCTATGCTCATTTAAGGATATATTCTTTTGTGAATTTTTTATATTTACTACATGTTATATTGCTTCTTTAGATATCTTGAGAAAATCTAATTTGAAATTTAATTACTTTCAAATATAAATTGAATTATCATCAAATCAAAATTATTTATAGTCCCATCCTTTGATGGAGGTAAGAATAACTTACATGGAGTATTCATACATATTTATACTATTGGTTTATTTTTATCTTCAGTTATCTGTTAATACATTTTGCTTTTGTATGCAATAATATAAAAAAGAACAACAAAATATTGGAAAGATAGACAAAATATAAAAATGAAAAAGTATTGTTTTATTGTGAGGTTTTATACTGACAAAAATTCTGAAAGCAAATGTATATTGTATAAAAGTATTGAGAATCGACTTTCATAAAACATCCAGATATTTAGGAGTCTTTTAAGATTAATGAAGTTAAGAACTGATGACCTGGCTGTGGACTATGATGAAATAAAGTCAGAAAAGATAAAATGGTATAGGGTAATAATTCTGTGTTCCTAATATGAACAGATACAAACACATCTAATCTGTTAGAAGGGATATATACTGCTGTCCGGTAGATTTTACATACTTCAATAATTTTTTAAGATGATGTATTACAAGTCCATACTTTAGATTCTTTGTTTTTATACTATGGAGTAAAGATATAATCACAGACAGCTGTCCCAGTGCAGCATCACTCTATGTAGCACCTCAGTTAGAAAGGCCCTAGATTTCTGATGTTGTCAATGTAGGCAGTATTGGACTGTGCTATTCTCTAATATAAACTGAGTTCTGGTGATGAATTGCTAGGGTCTAAAAATGCTAAGGTCAAACTCAGCAGTTATCTGATAGGACAAATAACACTTTCAGAATAGTTCAAGTGATAAAATTCCTCAAGAATCTCATAATACAATTATCAGCTACATTTTTTAACTATCACAGCAGATTTTCATAAATTTTTTATTGAACTTTGTACTTAGTTTCATTTAAGTATATTTTATACTGTTTGAAAGGTTTGTATGTTTATACAATGTATAATGATGATATGTATCCATCAGTAACTCTCTTCTACTCCTAGATACCTACAACACATCAAAATTAAAGAAGAAACAAATGATTTAAACAGATCCATAACCAGCAACAAGGCTAAGAAGTCATAAAACTCAACTAAAAATTATCTCAAGGATCAGATAGACTCAATGCGGAATTTTATTGAAATTTCAATAAAAATGAGCACCAATGCTACTCAAATTATACCATGAAATAGAAAGTGAAGAAATGCTTCCAAACAACTTAAAGAAACTAATATTACACTGTTACAAAAACATAGACACATCAAGAAAAAGAAATTCATAGACCAATCTTTCTGATTAACATAGATGCTAAAATTCTCAATAAAATACTGGTTAAACCCAATTCCAGATCACATCAAAAGGATTATTCATCAAGAGTAGGTTGGTTCCATTACAGACATAAGATGTTTAAACATACATAAATAAAAGTTTTCTATCACATTACTCAAAGATTGAAATCATATGGTCATTACAATAGATTCAGAAGAGTCCTTTGACAAAATTGAACATGTCTTCATGACCAAAGTCATGGAGAGCCTAACTCAACAGGCACCATAATTCAGCATAATAAAGGCCATATAAAACAAGCCAACATTATGCTTAATGGAGAAAAACTCAAACTCTGCAAGATCAAGAACAAGACAAAGGTATCCACTCTCTCCACTCCTGTTCAAAATAATACTTTCCTTAAAAACTTTAGGATTTCCTACTCAAAAGAAACCTGTTATGCCACTTACTATGTAGTTTGAGTATTCTTGGCTCTTTTCAGATGGAATTAGGAATTAAACAAGTGAATCAATGAAATGACAAAGGTGAACAAGAAATCCAGCTACTTTGTGTGGCAGGATTGTATATGCCAGGATACCTGTCTGTGAAAGTGTGTAAAGGAGCCATTGATGCACTTTACTTTTCATTAACTTGTTACATTTTCTGAGCTTTTTTCATTTGTTTCAACTTTTTCTGCAGGTTAAAAGGTAGAGCAACTCACTGGATTCTAGAGAAGACATGTAAGTAGATACTCTGGTGTTTTTGTACTTCTTTTGTGTTTTTGGTTGTGATGTTCAAACTTCAGGGTGTGTGAGCTCATCATTTCAGAGACTCAAAGTAGATTACCTTTATGTTATATTTTTCTTCATGAGTGTCCCTTTTTTGTTTGAGGAAAAAAAGTTTTAATTTCTTCTATTTACTTTTAATTTGAATCTCTTTTTTTTTTAGAATTTCATATGAGTTTCTATTTACATTTCCATCCCCTCATCCCCTCTCCAGCTTATACCATGCCCCTCACACGGTCTCTCAAATTCATGACCCCATTTTTAATTATTGACCTCTCTTTCTCTCTGCCTCTGTCTCTGTCTCTCTCTCTGTGTCTTTCTGTCTGTCTCTCTCTCTCCAAATATTTACTAAGTCCATTTAGTGTTGCTCATATGCATATGTGTCCAGGGTTGACCACTTGGGATTATGTAACCTATCAAAGAACTCATCCCTGGAGAAAATGGGTTGTCTCCCTCTCAGCAGCTACTGAGTGCCTGTAGCTCTTCATCTATGAATGGGACCTTATGAAATTTTGCCCATCAATGTTGATATATAAACTGATGTTGTCATTATAGAGGTCTTGTTTAAGTAAACATATTGCTGATATTTCAAGGGTTCAGTTTCCTTGTCATGTTTAGAAGACACTATCTAATCTTTTTTTGTCTTTAAGGCTTACTTTGAAAAACTACACAGGAAGGTCATATCTTAAAAAAAAAAAAACAAACAAAAAACTTACCCATCCCTGAATTGAAAAGGTCCTTTGGCACAACGAATGTAGTTATTAGTTGAATGTCTAGCTCAACTGAAAAGTTTTCTTGTCAGCTTTTGAGTAAAGAGCATCAAGGTAAAATCCTTACCAGGCTGCCTATCTTGTAGGAATGAATTAGGCATGGGAGTTCTACTTGTTACTCTCCATTTCTTTCCCTGAGTACACAAGTTAATATGATAAATGGTGTACAAGTGGCAAGGTTCTGGGGCACTGAACTTAATGAACACTATTTGGGGGGTGGATAGGGGGATCTTTTGAATGTATTTGTCAAATGTATTTATTTTATTTAAAGTCTTTTTAAAATTTTTTTATTTTTTAATTTTTTCAAATTAATTTATTCATTTTTATTTTATGTATATGCGTGTAGTGCTTGCATGTAGGTAAATGCACCCGTGTCATGCAATGCCCGCAGAGGTCAGAAGAGGCTGTCAAATCCCTTGGGACTAGAGTTATGGAGAGTTGTTAGCTGCCATGTGGGTGCTGGGATTTGAACCCGGGTCTTCTGCAAGAACAACCAGTGTTCTTAACCACTGAGCCATCTCTCCAGCCCTATTTAAAGTCTTTTAATAATTAGCATACATTGAAACAGTTTTCATTATGGTATTTTCTGGGCATGTGCCCAAAGGACTCTGCATCCTACCACAGAGATATTTGCACATCCATGTTTATTGTTGCACTATTCACAAGACCAGAGATATTGAATCAGCCTAGATATGTATCAACATAAGAATGGAAAATTAAAACATGGTGCAGATACACAATCAAAGTATACTAAGCCAAACAGGAAAATTAGTTGATCTAGAAATTATGATACTAAGTGAGGTAATCCAGACTGAGAAAGACAAACATCATGTTTTCTATATGGTGATCTGAGCTTCTACTTGTATATACACATATTTATGTATGAATGAGTGTGGGTTTCGGGAAGGGGATTGTTGAGAGGTGAAATAGACGTTTTTAAAAGGGATGGAAAGGATAATAGAACACACGTTTATGAAAGTGAACAGAGGAATATGAGGCAGAAATGTAGCTGCTGCTAGAGGACAGGGGAGATGAGGGAGAGCAGCAGAGGTGGGAAGGAAAACCAAACAATGACTATACCATAATGAAACCTGATAATTAGAGGTAATCTTTTTGATATAATGACTTTGGTAAATCACTGACTTTTTTTTTTTCATTTTATGTTAGGTGAAAAGAACTTTTGTAATGAAATTCAAATTTGCTAATCATCGATTAAAAAACAAGTTACTGCATGTGTGTAAGTGTACCCATGTCATGAAATGCCGAAGAAGGTCGGAAGGCACTGGATCCCCTGGCACTGGAGTTATGGATGGTTGTTAGCCTCCATGTGGGGGCTGAGAATCAAACCCAGGTTCTCTGCAAGAGCAGTCAGTGCTCTTAACCACTGAGCCATCTCTCCAGCCCCCTTGATACCCTATTTATTTCTAACTTTACTAAGACAACACAGGTCATAGTCTTCATAATAATGTAACATTGACATTATTCAGTGTGACAAGTCTATTCAGAAACTAAGAAAGTGGCCATTGTACATTAGTGTTATTTCATAATACAGTAGACAAACTTTCCCAGATTCAGCCTGGCTAAGGAAATGATTATTTTTTTTGAAGGTACTTGCCTTGATGATGAGTACAAATGTCTGAGGATGCTGAGTGACTCATACAAATGGTCCAGATGTGTGGTCTTCTGTTAGGACATACACGATTCTGAAATCCTGAGTTTGAGTGGAGACCCCTCAGTGATGACATATCACTGTGGGCAGGCTTCAGCATACTATTTTATGAGGCCAGGTGCATCTTTTATGTATTAAGTGATTAAGACTTGTTTCATTTCTCTTAACTTGAACAGACCTGTAGATGCTTGTATAGAGGAAATATGTTCTTGTGTATCAAGCGAGGAAATTGAAAAAATTGAATCAACTTAGAGGCAAGCAACTGGGAAATATACTGAGTCAGTAGTATTGCTAAAAGTTTAAGACAATGGAATGCCATTAAGTCCACTAATTAATAGTGCTGCTGAGTACTTTTTAAGTCAATGTCTTTACTATTCTGTACTGTTTTACTGGGATAGAAGGACTGGAATCTTCACTTCCTAGAATAAGGGTGAGTAATTAAACCCGTATCCTTTGAAATCAATGACTTGTCCTCTGTGTCAGGTTCTGAGGTCACCTACTTTATCTTTTCAGAGTCTCAATTGGGAATATGGTTGTGATATATTCTTTTTTTCTCATTTAGATTTTGAAAAAAGTTTTCCTACTGGATCCTTCTTGTTGTTGGTTGTTTTCCCTTTCATTTTAGTTTTCTGCTTTATGGAAAAAGCATAGAATTTTGGATAATTATTTTGGCAATTTCATAGTGGATACCAAAATATTATTATACTGTCCTCATATGTTTACTTACTGGAGTTTTGGTTCATAAGGTCTTTGTAGTCATATATATTTCTGCTTGTAGTTTACTCTTGAGGATTCAGTTGAACTTTCCCTTCCCTTCTTCCCTTCTCCCTTCCCTTCCCTTCCCTCCCCTCCCCTCCCCTCCCCTTCCCTTCCCTTCCACCGAATTTTGTTCTCTCTCTGTGGCATGTGAGAGTCAGACACCTGGGTGGTTTCTGGAATCTTGAAATATGTCTTACCTCTGTTGATTAATTGCTGGCCTGGGATGATGAAAATTTATTGAGCTGTACAAATTTAGTATATACACTTTTATACTTCAATCGAAAGCAAAAAAAAAAAAAAATCCCACCAAGCTAGCATACATATTAGCTGATACATTTCTTGAGAATATTATGCAGTAGATTATATTTAATTGGTGCCTAATGGTTGATGTTCTAATAATGTCAAGTATTTTTTTCCCTAACAACAGCATTTTCAGAAGGGTATATTTTGGAGTAGTTACTTATAAATTTTCATTTTAAAACATATCCATTCACATACTTAAATTATTTTATTCACACCCTATTATCTATTATAAAAATCACAGGGTAATTATTTGTATACAACATTCAAAGAATGTTACTCATAGATCTTAGGGAAATAGAGAGCCATATGTATTATACATTTAAAAAAAAAAAGGTAATACCAAGGAATTAGACAAGATATAAGTTAACAGATAGAATGACTAGACTGTTGTTTGGCTTCTCAAGACCTTACCTTTTGAGTTCATGATACATTAAAACAAAACTGTGTTTCAACTCTTAATCCGACTTCCTTGATTTTCCTTATTGAGTCCAAAAATCAAAAGCACTAGTCATAAATAACTATTTTTACCTCATTTTAAGAAATTTTAACAATATAGGGAATATAAATTGGCTTACAATGAACTACTTTGAAATTTCTTCCCTGATTTCTAGTTGCCATATGTTAGGAAGGAATTTTTTTTATTAATACTGTAACAGCAGTCCATCTACTTTTATATCTGTCATTCAACTAACATATCAATTTATCTAATTGTAAGAAAACACTTTTTTGTTATGCCATTTTGGTAGTGAATATGCATAATACAATCTCATGAGGACTCTATGTATATCTAGAAACTATAGATATACTCAAAGCTTCAATGAATAAAAAGAACACTTCATTTTGTTAAAGTCTTTTCTTTTCCAGAATAATAGCTACCATTTTCGTTGCCTTGAAATATATCATACTTTCATAATGAACACGCACTCATACTCCTGTTTCTTAGGAAATTTTTCCTAGAAATTATACTTATTATTAAAAGTTAGATGCATGGTATTTCCTTTAATAAGATAGTCAAATTGCCACCCAAATTTTCAGATCACTTATTTCAGTACTGTATCAGAATCTGTGATAAAGTGCTCCATGTTTGACAGATGTATAGTTAGAAAGTAAAGTAATACATTGTTATTTGGGATATCTTAAATGACATTTATTAAAATAAAATTTAGTTCATATAATCAAAACCGACGGTGATGTTTATAAACATGTATCATGACAGTAGCATTTATCACTGGCAGTTATACCATGATAATCTATAATTTTCAGTCACCTCAATACTTCTAATTGGAAAGCAAAACTTAAATACCAAAATTTAATAGTTCTGAGTCATTGAATAGATATTTAAGTTTCTATCTTTCTCTACAATAATAAGCACAATTCACAAATTTATAATTTAATTTTGTCATAGACAAAATATAGACAGTGAAAAGTAAAAACTATTAACAATGATAAAGCCACATTAATATGAAAAATTTGACTGGGATAGCTTTTATAATATCAATTTGGAAAAATTTATAAGTTCAAACTCTGAACTATTTTCCAAATTTTTAACATTTTAATAAGAATTTTTAAAATTCTAGTGTTTATTCATCTCTAGATACTTTGAATATATTACATTTCCTATATAGAGAAGATTTTATTAGTCATATTTATTCTTTGACATACATGTATATAATACATTCTGATTACTCTCATCTGTTCTGTTATTTTCATCCTACCCTTGTCACTCCATTCTCTTGCCTAAATGTCCCTTTCTCCATGATCATCTCTTTTTGTTTCATTTTGTGACCTAGCGAGTTTAATAGGTCACCTGTGAGAAAATACATTGGGAACTATTCATTGGAGCCTGGTGCACTCACCAGTGTGTACAGATCTGAAGATAATGACTCCTCAACCACCTGAATCCATCATTAAGCCAATAATTCAACAAGAGGGATATGGCCCACAAATCCCTCCTGCATTCACAACTGGCTATTGATATCGATAGTTCCAGTTTTATGCAGGTCCAGTGTAGGTAACTGTAGCTGCTATGAGCTCATGATTGCAATGGGTAAGCCATTCCCAGAACACAGTATTTCATAGCTTTTATTCCTATCTTCTGGTTCTTATATTCTTTCCACTCCCTCTTCCCTGACCCTTGGAAGGGAAAGCATGAATGTCCTCTGAGACATTCATGGATTGGTCTGCTGACCAATACCCCCATTCTATTAACTGACTGTGAGTTTTTTTTTTTAATCTTTAGTGCTGATAATGTATGCTTGAGAATGGAAGAAAAAAGAAAAGACACGAATGGAAGTCGTATATTAAGGTAGTTAATCAACACATTGTAAATAAGGAATTTTAATCAAGCAGAACGTTTGCTTAGCAATATAGAAAAAGCAAAATATATGGACATTATTTTCCAGTAATTGAAATGTTGGATAGGTAATGCAAGTCACATCTTTGTTTCATATTAATAATATTAACTCTTTATACAGTTTCCAGGTGAATGTACAGGGTGTGTGTGTGTGTGTGTGTGTGTGTGTGTGTGTAACAAGACTCAGAAAAGTGAGACTATCAGGCTGTCGGTGTGCTGCTACCTAGGTGTTGTTGAAACTGTAGTTTCCCAGGTCTGCATTGAATGCACAGCTCAAGGACCTCCAGCAAACATGGCAGTCTCAGAACTTTATGTACACAATATTTCACTATCATTTTGTGTCAGGACTCTAAATACACAGTTTGCACAAATACAAATCAAATATGATTTGTCAAGTCAATTTGTATGGATTGGGAATGAATTATTTGTTTACTGACTTACTAGAAACTGATAATTAGAATGAAGGAAAATACCAATGTAGGCATGGTGAAATAGACATGCAAATATAAGTTTACATATATGCTTTTGATTTGGATAGCACATCTAGAAGGAAAATGGGAAACCATATGCAGTAGATTTTTTTTCTTTTAATTGAGTTTTTGTGCTTTTCATATAATACATCTTAATCAAATTTAGACCGCCTCCCATCCAAAAGCCCCTCCCCCACCAGATTTCAAGTATTCTGTCATATATGTTAAGTCCTATCCAGTCAAGCATTTGTATCCAGGTGTCTTTTGGTGCAAGTTCATTCACTGGAGTCTAGTCAGTATATCTAGACTCAATTCCTTAAAGAAGATCTATTCTCCCTCACCCCACAATAATCATTTACCTATGGTTTCTTGGCTAAGATTAGGGTCTGCTGCCCAGTTCCCTCATCCTATGATAGGTTTTTGTCTGATTGAGTTAGCATGGGTCTTGTGCACACTGTCACCATTGTTGAAAGTTCATGAACAAGTTCCCAGAGGCCTGAAAGCCTCTGTTTCCTTATGTTCATTCACCAGGGAGAAAATCGGTGGTTGGCCCAGCCAAGTTGTAAAGCCTAATAACCACAATGACTAGCAGAGCAAACTGTCTCTATTGGTGGCAATTTTATCTAGGGGTAATCAATAGCTATCTCATTGGACTTAAAGCCTTATCAATGGGAGGGAACTCATGGGTAGCACTGTAAATATAGCCAAATACATATGGCTGGAGAGATCATAAACCCCAGTGAGAACCCTATCTCTGTCATATCTCTAGATAAATGAAATTTCTTACTGTATGCTAAATATGGATCCTTCTGGCTGGGTGTGGTGGTGCATGCCTGTAGTTCCAGCACTTGGGAGGCAGAGGCAGGTGGATCTCTGGTCTACATAGTGAGTTCGAGGCCAGCTGAGGCTACAGGGAGACCCTGTTTCAAAAAGACCAAATGAAAGAAAGAAAGAAAGAAAGAAAGAAAGAAAGAAAGAAAGAAAAGAAAGAAAGAATTCTTATATTTACAGACAAGTATACTGTTCTAGTTTGCCTTCAATTGCTGTGACAAAATATTCTGACCAATACCAACTTGAGGAGGAAAGAGTATTTTGCTTACATCTATCTCCCGGTTACAGTTCATCA